AGGGTGGGACAACCCTCCACAGTGAAGTTGCTTAATAAGGTCCTCAATTCTTTCAGACTTTTGAGCCCAAATATAATGCAACATTGCTATTTCTTATAACAATTGAAATACGCAGCAATATTTGTAACCAAAACTATTCTATCATGGAGGAGATTGGAAGAAGATAATCCTTAACTGGCACAGTTGAAAATGATTTTAGAGAGAGTGATTTGTTGATTCCCTTCATTTTACAGCTGGGGAAACTGAGGGCCAGAAAGGTCACGGAACCCTCTCAAGGTCATGGCACTAGCTAAATTCTGGATCCCAGGTCTCCTGCCCTTTGGGCCAAGGCCGCTTTGCCTAAAGCAGCAGAAAACCTGCAGAATAGCGTCAAGATGGCCAGGCGGGAGACAGTGCCATCCATCTGAAACATCATTCTGGCTTCTGCCAGCTGATGAAGGAAATAAAGTTAATGACGCCCACATAAATGTGATGCTGTCGCAAGACGTGTGCAAGGGCTGTCTGAAGAGGAGCTCTGTGGGCCCCCTGATGAAGGAAAAACGTTTTCATGTAGCTTTAAAGGGAGCAGTGTCTCCCCTTTCTGCAAGGACAGGGACTCTGGCATCTGTTACCTCTGCCCCCTCCGCAGAGTGCCTGGTTGTGGACCGGACGCTTCCATACATGATAAATACATGCCTGGTGAAGAAAGGAAGGCAGCGTCGGCACTGAAGCAAATTCATTTTGAGCCTTTGTGGGTATGGGCCTGTCTTTTATAAAGACCTTATCCCAGGTGGGAGGGAATTTAGAGGTGTTGGAATCAGTCATTTGAGTTGATTGGTGAGCAAATTGAGTCCCCATGATGCAGAGACTTGTCAAAGCCATGCTGCAGGACGGGGGCAGAGCTGACTTTAGAACGGGGGTTTTTCAAATCACAGCCCAACTGCTCCATCCACTGTGCCACATGTTTGCAACCTCTTTCATAACAAGTTGGTCTCAAGAATAAATTTCCTAAATATCCCCTGAGAGGTCATCACCAGTTTTGTGAATATGCAGAAGTTATGTGCCGATTCATAACTATTTACCAGCCTAGGGTCCTCGTCTAAGCTGTCCTTCGGGAATAAAAGACGTGATGCTTTCTTTTCTCTTACTCAAGGTTCCTAAGCTCCCCGAAGAGGGTAGATTGACATTTTGATTGGCCCTGGTGCAAACTTGCCCAAGAAACTTCTTTCCTTAGGAAAAGAATCCTTGGTCCATTTCAGAAGCTCTTAGATACTTTCTGTGTGCCCAAAATGCAGCGGGTAAGATTTGAGGGAAAATACAGCTGTGCTACCAGGAGGAAAAGATTGAGGTGGGCATCTGCCCCTCTTGGCCAGCTTGGAGACTCAGAAGCCAGAGGGGCCACCTCAAAGGAAAGTTCATTCACCTGGTTTTCCAGGATGATATGAAACAATCTATTTGCCATGTTTCTTTTGACCCAAGTGTGCATAGAAACATCTTTCCTTCAAGGTTTTAGTGACCTTTCTTTGTAAATGAGTGCCATATTTAGCACAAAACCCTGTGCAAGGAAGCATCTACTGGGATGGCAGGTAGAAGTGGCACATAGAGAGAAGCTGATCATCTTCTGGGAAAGCCAGCCATGGATTAGGCTTGGTTTATCTCCTCTACCTTTATTCCCTTTGCATGCATGGGCTAGGTCCCTTTTTGCTTCATTGGGGTGCTTTGTGTGTTTCTTAAGGAGCATTTTCTCAAGGAAACTAGACTTTTTTCTTCATTAAAAAAATTAGTACATCAGAATAGCAGATTAAATATTTGGTCATTCTATACTGGTGGTTCTCAACTGCAGATAATTTTTGCACTCCAACCCCCACCGCAGGATTTTTGGCAAGGTCTGGAGACCTTTTTGATTGTCATGACTGGAGGTGGGGGCTGGGGCCACGGCACTGCTAAACATCTTATAATGCACAGGACAGCCCTCCTAATGAAGATTATCCGGTTCAAAATGTCAATAGTGCCAAGACTGAGAAGCATGTTTTATGCTCTGAGTCTATTTGAATTACTCAGAAGATAAAAAAATTTGGGGGTCTTCCTGAGGCCCTTCTAGCCATAAGGCACTGTAAAGGCTCTGGGAATCAAAGCAAGTTCCCTTTGGCTTGAAAAGGAGGTTTGAAAGGAATGTGCTTCTACCATAAAAAAACCATATCTTTGCCTATTATTTTTGACCAGCCTGGATATAAAGCCCCATCTCCAACTGAAAATAAAGAGACAAAATTTAGGTTATTGAATCCTAGAATGTCACTCATGGAATTTTAGAACCATAGGCTTTTAAAATACCAGAGCAGGAACTTCAGCCAAATCACCTCATTTTACTTATGGGGTCACAGTTGATGAGCACTGCAATGCTGTGTGCCTCCCGGTGCCCTATGTCTCTCTCCCCTCAGCTCTGTCTAAGGCCTCGATTTGTTGTTGTTGTCTCTGTGTTGGCACCATCGGAGATTTCTGGTTCACTTTGATTGTTGTTTTGTGTTACCGTCATTATTGCCAGTTTGCTGGTTATGTACTGATGCAGCGATACTTCTGTTATTGATGGCCTTTCCTTTTCTGGCCCCCAGATTTCCCCAACAAGGTGATCAGCTGGAATCATTTAATGTAAGGAGTACCTGGGTGCCTGAGATGATTGGACTGGCTTATTCCAACATGGGTGCCTGTCCCTTGGGGGAGAAAGGGTTATTCACAAGGAACCTGCTAGGGAGCTGCCCGTCTCCATTTACCCCCACATACAATTCTATTGAGTCCCCAGATTTTAATGCTTCTGCATTTTCACCTAAAATTTCAAAAATGAGAGAGTTAGAAATGAAAGTGCCAATTACACAAAGACAATACTTTCCCTCCTTTTGACCTTTTTTTCTCCATCTCTCTGAAAAATTCCTGAGGGTATTTCCCTAGTTCAGTTCCTAGTTTTATTATTTTATGTTTCAGAACATTTCTGAAACAACATTTACTCCTCAGATGATGTAGCCATTCCTGTATTTTGAAAGTGCAATAGTACCAATCCCTTCCCAGCTCTCCAAAGTCATGACTCTTCTTCCCTATAAACACAGAATCCCATATACATTGTAGCTCAGATATGCCTTGACACACGTAGGGGAAGGAGATGTAGAGTGAGCCTTTCTGACGGGCCACCACCAGTTTACTTAAAGAATTAACACGGTGGATTCATAGTGTTATCAAAATGATTACAATGCAAACCTTTTAGACTGTGTCTCCCTTTTGTGAAAGACAAGGTCGGGGAGAAGAAAATCAAGCATACTGTTCATCAAGAAAAAAGGAATCGGGTGTGTGTATGGGAGGTGATGTGCTTGGTCCTATTAATTTGCTCTTTAATCTTTCTGGTTCAGTTCTGTCTCGGTAAGCCAGAGAATCAATTTGCATACAAATGTTACCAAGTACCCCACCTCCAAGCATTTTACAGTTCTGTATGTATGTAGGGGAGAATGGATTTGATATTGTTAAGAGGATACTTCCTGCCCTTTCCCCCATAAAGTAGCTACATTTCACTACAATTCACAAGGCCCTGGATTGTTGCACTTTTTTCATTCTATCTGACTCCCTGACTATTTGCATTCTGAGCTGTGGGCAGGACTATGGCCTATCAAAGAATTATTTGAGCTGGACATTAGAAGCTTTAGCATTGGGTATCGCAGGGAAGGAGGGGGTCTTTTCTTCATCTCAAGAGAAAGACATGAAGAGTGGTTGACATATAGACCCTTACAGTCTGGGGTCTGGGGGAGGTGTCATTCATTTAATAAACCAATCGACAGGTTAGTCAAACCAACAATTCATATGCAGAATTCTCTACAATGTTAAAAGGAAAACCAAGAATTAGTTGCTGGTTTATGATGGAGAGAATATTTGGTGGTTACTTATTTTTAAAAATAACCTAGAATGGGTTTTTCAAATGACTGTTAATACCATGCCATGGTAAAACATGAGAGGCAGGTATCTAAAATGAGAAAGATTAATGATCCCTGCGGGTCATGGAAGAAGAAAAAATTTTTTCAATTCATATAAATGGAATTTATCATAACCATCTCTGACGATGGCTGATTCACCCACTTACAAAGGACTATCTATTCCAATGCTTCCCGAAGAGGTGATTTTTCACTTTTCACTTGTACTAACATAGAATGCTAAGCCTGTAGGCAGAAAATTTTAACCTGGGAGATAACGGGTGAGGGAACTCAGCTACAGACTGAGGGACAGACATAAATTAAACAAAACAAACAAGAATTGTCCATCAGTTCAGGATCTGCAGCTAACAAAGTAGAGTTTGAAAAGGTGAGTGGGTGAGAGGAGGAAGTCAAAGTTTCAAAAGGGAATGTTTCCCAGGATCTGTTCCTAAGTAGATTCACTCTGCACCCAAGTTCAGGGCTTTACAACCTGAGGTCATAACACTATTGTTTCCAAGCACTAAGCCTCAGCAACCCCCCCCACTCTCCACCCGCCCCCCCGCAGAAAAAGAAAACAACAACAAAAAAAGGAGAGAAAAATAAAATGTTCTGTGTCCAGCAAGTTCGAGTGCAACCTTCCCCGTCACCGCTAGTTGTCACTTGGCTCCCAGACGGGAGAGCTGAGGTTTTCGGCACTGCGGTTAGAGAGAATGCAGTCCTAATTAAACTGAGTAACTCCTAAAGCTTCCCCTTAAAGTCCTCAGCCCAGTGAGAGCCAATATGCAGAGGGGCTGGGGGCCAGTGATAGGGCAGGGGTATAGCAGATGGAAGGACAAACAAATCACAAAAAACAGGCAAACAGCTGCCAGAGCAGCGACTGTCTCAGACCTCCACGCACAAGCCAGACACCCTGCGGGCGGGGTGGGGTGGGGGAGCGGGGGATGGAAAGACCCGATTGCAGCGGTATACAACAGCCCCCTCCCCCCAAATGGGGGGGATCACGGACAGAATCAGCCTCAGTGCTCCTTTCCCCCATTTCCATTACAGCGATGTGGTCAGTAGAAAATTGCATACCTGAAGAATACAATGGTCTCCCAAAGGTAGAGTCGAAGAGTATTGAAGCTGTACATTTTTCAGGTCCTTGTGCTTTGTAGTCCACGAGTTATGGGGGCAAAAATGTTTCAAATCGGCACTTACAAAACCAGCGAGCGCTATTGAAAAAATAATCCAGATGCTAAGGGGAGGTGGAGAACCGGGGCGCGGAGGAAGAGCCCCAGGGGAAATTGGAACGAGGGGTCTGTAGGTACCACGGACAGAGGCAGCCGCGAAGCGTTTCAGCACCACGGAGAGCGTCCAGCCCTGCTTTTCAGGAGCGCGAAGAGTATTGCTGTTTGTTAAACTCCAGCTTGTCTGTTGGCTCCCTGCGGCGCTGGGGAGGCACGTTTGGGGGTGGGTATATTTTCTTTTTTACCCCTGTTTTTCTGTTTAAACGGCCAGCTCCATGCAAGGAAAAAAAAATCTTTTGTGGCGATCAGAGCGCTGGCCTCGGACCGTTAGGTTGGGCGAGCATTTGGGTAGAGAGAGCTGGGCTTTATGCCCCTGGGCTGGCCTGAGGGGATTAGGGGCGAGGGGAAGCGATTGACAGTGCTGCCTTCAGTGAAATCCCGGAGAATGTGCCAGGCTGGCGCATCGCGACCGAGTCCCGGAATCTCGTTCCCCTGCCTGCGTGCTGGTCTGCTGTCGCCTTGCGATCCCTGTTCTCTGGTCCCCGCCGAATAAGTTATGATCGTTGCAGGAAAGGTGTCCCATTGCTCGGGGCTGCAGGCATGAGAGAGCTCAGGGCAAGTTTCAGGGGCTGCCGGGGTCCATGGCGACCCCGCGGGGCTCAGTAGCCCAAGGCTTCAGATGCATCTCGATTTTCTGAGCTCGCCCATCTTCCTTTGGCCAGGACTCCTTCAGATCTTCAGACTTTCTTACTGCATTAATTTAACAAACTGGCGGCATGGGGGTTGGGGGGGGGGTGCTGGCGAAGGCCGATGGGAGGGGGTGGAGAGGAAAAAAAGGGGGGAAAAAACTCCTTAGTATCTTCAAACCCTCCCACTCGAGGTGCTCATTGGCCCGCGGCTGCGAAAACCAGATCTTTTCTCAGTGTTTGGCCAATCGCGTATTAGACTCTGGGTTGAGCTTAACGCTTAAAGTGCTGGACGAGAGCTGCGTCTCTCCTCTCCTTTGCAAGCGGGCGGTGGGATGGGGGAGATTATGGAGTTAATCTCTCGAGGTCTCTCAAAATATTGCCACGATATTTAAAGAATGTAGTTGTATGTGAGTAAAACAAACACCACGGGTCCCAGTTCGAACCTGCTTCTGGGCTCAGTTCATCTTAAAAGGGAAGAATTGAACCAGATCCCTGAGTTTCTTTAGAGCTCTGAAGTTATAATATTTGGTACAGAAGTAAAGGAGAGGTTTCAAGAAGTCTGGTCCTAAAAGCCCCCGCCTCTTCCCCTGGGCCACTGCAACAGGAAGATGCAGGAGAAATTCCTTGACCACTGTCCAGAGTCAAGAGGGAGCAATCCTGGCCTCACCGCGGGCATCCTTGGGGGAGAAGGAAGGAAGGAAGATATGGAAGATATGCCCTCTTCCAACTGGACAGGAGATGGTTTTATTTACATGTCACAAGCTGGGGCAACAGAGCCTAAGAGAGCTGTGTCTTGTTTCCAAATAATGATTGAGCCAAGCTGTACACACAGTTATCTAGTACTTAACCACTCCTATCCACGCCCCCCTCCCCCCGGGTTTCCCACCTTAGTTGGGTCTCGGAAACCAGCTATACATTTCACTCTAGAGCCCAGCTGGGGAGGTGGAGTTAATCAGATTTTCTCCAAGCTACCAGACTTTAGTGGATTAATAGCCTCTGCAGGATTTTCTGGCTTATTTGAACTGGCTGGGACTCTGGGGTCTCTCCCTCCCAGCCTAGTGAGTGGAGACAACCCTTCCCTCTTTCTCAGCAGTGTTAGGAACTCCTTCTTTTGAGGTTTTGGAGGTTGGTTCTCCCTAGAACAGCTCAGCTGTCTCCAAGCCCAGGCTTTCTCCCAAAGAAATCTGGAAAGCTTTGTTCACCAGTCTCCTACCAGCAGGGATCCCCACCTCCAACCTCCACGCCACTGTTATGACACACCCCACATTACTCTTTTATATTGACTTCCACACACAGTGATGCGCTGCTTAGTATTTCCATGAGTTTCTGAGTAGTGACTGAAAAGGAAATTTTGCTTTGAAGGTGGTTATTCATATGAGTCTTATATACATTTATGTTATCTATCTATTTATCTATCTATATCTATTGCTAACCTTTATTAGCATGCCTTTTATCTATCAGGTACTAGTGTGCACTTCACATAATCTCATTTACTTCCCATGGTAATACTTTGAGGTAAATATTATCTTTGTGAATGTGTTTCTGTATATGTGTGTGTACATTTGTGAGTAGCTTGGGCAAGACAAACATGTATATTTCTGTATATATGAATTGATTTGTGATTTGGTATCCACCCATCCATCCGGGTATTCTGAAGCAAATGGGCAGTACACATGTGTATTTGTACATTTGTGCTTGTAAATGGGTCTCTATCCACATGGGCATATATGTATGCATCTACTTGTGTCATTGTTGTGCCCCTGAAGATTCTAAAACAAACTGTGATGTCACAACTTTGTCCTTGTTCCTTACCTGGCTAGGAAGCAAGTGGATGCAGTGCGTAGAAGTTATGTTTTCTTTTCCTTCAAGGGACGCTGTGTGTGTGTGTGTGTGTGTGTGTTGTTGTTGTTGCTATTGTTGCTGATGTGGGTGTGACTGGCTCCAGGGCTTTGGGCTGTGCGGGAGAGGAAAATACTTACTACCTGGGGCTCCCTGTTTTCTAGTAGGCTTCTGTCTATGCTGAGGCTGCTACTTTTATTTAATCAGCGTGCATGAAGTCAGAGTGTGCCAAGCATTGGGGATCCGCCAATATGTAGGATGAACAGTACTTTGAACCTCCAGACACGAAATCACTTTAGAGGTTCAGTGGGAAAAGTTCCTCATTGTTGTGAATCTACACTTTTTACCCCAAATCTCATGTATTTCTTATGCCTATAAGCAGTATACTTGGATCTTTCTGTCTTGTGTAGGTCACTATTGAAATACTTGCAGGCTTGGAGGTCAGAGATTTATGTTCTTATTTTATCTCTGCCTCAAAAAGGCTGGATAATGTTGGATAAACGACTGAATCTCTTTGGGCCTAAGTTGTACAGGGAGAGTAGCATCCATTCTTCTCATCACAAGAAGCTGCATAGAAGATATGGCATTCCAGTCTAATCTTATTGTGACTACCATGCTTTGAAATAGAAATCTCAATGCAATGGAATGGATTGGCTCCAGCAGATGGTTCATTTTGTAATGGTAAGTATTCTGTGTAGCCTAATTCCAATACTTGGGGTGGCCCCTTATAGGTAGCCAGATTTGAGCTCTTCTAAGTATGAACATTTTGACCTACACCAAGACTTATTTTATTCCTAGAGGTGATTCATGCTTTAATTTCATTCATTCATTCATTCATTCATTCATTCATTCATTCAGCATTTACTCTGTGTCACTATTCTGGGCACTAGGGATATAGCAGGGAACAAAACAGGTAAAGATCCCTATTCTAATGGAGTGTATCTTCCAGTGGAGGGAAGAGCAGATAAAAAGGTAAATTATGATGTATTAGGCAATCATATGGTTTATTTATTTATTTATTTTTAAACATAAGGTTTAAAGAGAAAAAATCTAAGGTCAGAAAATGATATAGCGGTACTATTTAATATAGGGTGGTCAGATCAGGGAGTGTTTTCTGAAAAGAAGACATTTGAACAGAGGATGGAAAGAAGTAAGGGAATGAACCATGTGAACCTCAGGGAGGGGAAGAAGAGCTTTCCAGGCGGTGGGAGAGCAAACATAAAGACCCTGAGAGGAGAGTATGCTTAGAATATGCAGGAAACAGCAAGGAGGCCGGCAAGCCTGAGTGGAATGAGTGAAGTGAGTGTACCAGCAGAGGAGGTCAGAGAGTGCTTAGGAGCAAGGCCGTGTACTGTCTCCAGGGCACAGTAAGGACTTGGGGTTTTATTTTGAGTGAAACCCTTTTGGAGGGTTTTGAGTAACAAGATCTGACTTAACATTTTAACAAGATTAGTCTGGCTACTGTGTTTAGAGTAAGGTGTAGGGATGGGAGGGGAAAATGACAACAGGGAGACTGGTTAGAAGCTACTGAAAACAGTCCATGTGAGAGATTCTTAGAGACTGTTATGGTTCAACACTTTTATTTACAGAAGAGGAGAACGATATCCAGAGAGGTTAACTGACTTACCCCTTAGACTAGTAGTAGACTTGGGACTAGAATGCAGGTATGTAATTACAGCTAACGGGTCTTTCCACTGTTTTTTGCTCCAGCTGAAATGAAGGGCATGGAGAGAGAAGGTAAAGGAAATCTACAGAGGAAGGGACTTCACCTGGCTTGTTACTGATCTATGTCTATCAGCTGGCATGGTGCCCGGCACATAGGAAGAGCTCCCTAAATATTTCTTGCAAGGATGAATGACTGAATAAATGAAGGAAGAACAAAAAGATCCCAGCAGAGGGCCTGAAGAGAGAAAGAGGAAGGAATAGTGTTAATCAGGTGAGATTATGCAGGCCTGAACCCGCTAATGTAATTAACACAATGCCAAGCCTCTGACCATAATGACATTCACAGAGGAGAGTGCTGGATGTTTCAATACTGCTTTGACAGGCTTCATTGATACTTTGTAAAGAGAGATGGATATTCGGAGCAACTGAGCAGCTTGCCTAATTGTGCTGAAGTATTTTGATGAATATGGATCTTCAAATGGTACTTTGGAAGAGCCTTTCCTCCAAGGAGTAGGAGGCTTACTGCCAGCCTTCCCTAACCCGATTTAGAGAATAAACTTGCTACCTTTTCTTTTTTTTTTTTTTTAATTGCAAAGCAGTAGTATGCCCTCTGTGCTTTAAAGAAGGGACCTCAGAACTACTTGGGAAATCTCAGTGGCACTAGGAGAATTTTTAGTCATGAGCAGTGGATGCTTAAAATATTGAGGGACC